GAGAGAAGCAGCAAGTAAATATAGGCAGTGAGGCGGGAGCTGAGAGGGCCTGGGGAGGAAAGGAAGCAGGCGGGGGTGAGCGCGGGGGCTGCATGGAGCCAGGTGGCTGGGAGGATCCCTGAGGTGGCTTTTTCAGTGTTTTCTGTTATGGCGAAGTGCACCTTTCATAACACTTATCATCTTACTGTGCACTTACAGTCAATGGCATAAGTATATCCATGTTGCACAGCCATCCCCACCACACATCTCCAGACCTTTGTCATCTTCCCAAACGGAAACTCTGACCTCATTAAACCCGTAACTCCCGATCCCCCTCCCCCGGCCCCTGGCACCCATCATCTACTTCCTGTTTCTATGGATTTGATTCCCTTAGGAACTTCATAAGTGGAATCACACAGTATTTGTCCTTTTTTTTTTCTTTTAATCCTCGCCCGAGGATATTTTTCCATTGATTTTTAGAGGGAGTGGAAGAGAGAGGGAAGGACAGAAACATCGATGTGAGAGAAACACATCAATTGGGTGCCTCCTGCATGAGCCCTGACCAGGGCCTGGGCCAGGGAGAAGCCTGCAACCGAGGTACATGCCCTTGACCGGAATCGAACCCGGGACCCTTTGATTCGCAGACCAACGCTCTATCCACTGAACCAGACTGGCTAGGGTTGTCCTTCGTGTTTGTTAACCTCACCTGAGGATTTTTCTTCCCACTGAATTTTAGAGAGAGTGGAGGGGATGGGGAGAGACAGAGAGAGAAACATCGATGTGAGAGAGACACATAGATTGTTTGCTTCCAGCAGGTGCCCTGACTGGGGTTGGGGATCGAGCCTGCAACCAAGGTACGAGCCTTTAATCGGAATCCAACCTGAGACCCTTCAGTCTGTGGCCGGCGCTCTAACCACTGAGCACAGCTAGGGCAGTATTTGTCCTTTTGTGTCTGGCTTCTTTCACTCAAAACAATGTCCTCAAGATTCATTCACCTTGTAGCGTGTGTCAGAATTATGTTTATCCATTCATTCATCAATGGATACTTGGGTTGCTTCTATGTTTTAGCTGTTGTAAGTAATGCTACTGTGAACCTAAGTGTATAAATGAGGTGTCTTCTGAACCAAGACCTAAAGGAGGTGAGGGAGGCTAGGAAAAGAGAATTTTGGGCCACAGGGAGGACTTGGGCTTTGGCCCGAGGAAGGTGGGAGCCCTGGAGGGCTGTGGGCAGAGGAGGGATGTGATGACAGGCTGCCTTTTCGGATTCACTCTCGTCGAAGCAGGGGCAGCTCGGTCTGTGGCTAGTGGCCTTGCAACTGTGGGACAGGTTTTGATCACATCACTGCCCTTTGCTCTCTCGCACAACAGATCTTCGACCCCCCTGAGGAGTTGGAGCGGAAGGTGTGGGAGCTGGCAAAGCTGGTTTGGCAGTCCTCCCATGTGGTGTTCCACACGGGCGCGGGCATCAGCACCGCCTCGGGCATCCCTGACTTCAGGTCTGTAGGTGTGGAGGGGCAGTCGAGGCAGGACCTGCTAGCTGCTGAGGGCTTCCCTGTGAGCCACAGATACCCAGGCATCGGAACCCGTCCTGCTGCCTTCCCCTTGCTGATCCTCCATCCCCTGGGTATTTGGGATGGAAAGACCCCTCCCCTTCACACTTGTCCCTTTAAATCACACCCAGCATTTCACTCACCCCAAAACTTGGTCACCTGTCCATTCCTGGCTACAAGGGATGCGGGGCTCACTGTGCATAGCTAAAGATCAGGCTACTATTACCCAGAAAACAGGGCGATTCATATCAGGGTCAGTTAGCTCCACACTCGCAAATATTTTTCTATCAGACCTGGTACCGGGCAAGGGGCTTAACCGTTTGGACCTCAGTTTCCTCACCCATAACTGAGGGTGTGAAATCTGATAAACCACCCACACTCCAGGCAGCCTGTGTGACAAGAATTTTGTAGCTGAAAAGCAAGGTTCTCAACCTGGTGGCCCCCGAATTGCTCCTGTAGTTGCTGAGTTCGCAACCCTGCCCCAAAGGGCAGGCCTGTTGCATTTATACTGTTTTTCAAGTTCCTGGGCCAGTAGCAGAAGAGCAGATTCCTTGGAGGAATGTTAGAATTCTAAGGCATGAATTCCCCGCCCCCCTCCTCCATAACCTGCCATGGCTCCCCATTGCTCCACAGGAGAGTTCCAAGTCCTTCCCCACCCAGCCCTAGGTTATCTCCTCAACCTCCCGCTCCCGTTGTAGCCCCCAGGCCACTTGCATTTCCCCAAATGCACAGGCTGTTGCCAGCACCCCAGGCCTTTGCTTACCCTTCTGCCTGAACTGCCCCGCCTTCCCTCTTACAGTGTAAGAGACAGCTCAGCCTCCTCCAGGAAGCCTTTCCATAGTCCTCACACAGCCCTCACTGCCTCCACCGGGCCAGCCCAGCCCTGAGGGCTGAAGGGTCTGTGCCCACAGTGTCTCCCCTGACAAGATCAAGGACTCCTTGGGCAGGGCCTGGTTCCGCTAGGTCCCCAGCATCACCCAGCACAGGGCCAGGCTCAGTGCAGTGACAGTAACTTGGTTGAACTGAATAATTAATTTTTGCCCTCGGTGTACACTATTCTCTCTTCTTCCTCCTCTTCCTCCCTCTCAATCTCTCTTTCCTCCGCTTTCCAAACCCTTTGTCTCATTCTCTCTGTCTTTCTCTGTCTATCTTCAATTCTCTGTCTCTCTTTTTTTAAAAATCCTCACTGGAGGATATGTTTTTATTGATTCTTAGAGAAAGAGAGAAAAACATAGATCAGTTGCCTCCCGTATGCTCCCCGAATGGGGATTGAACCCACAACCTAGGTATGTGCCCTGACCAGGAATCAAACCTACAACCATTTAGTGTACAGGAAGATGCTCCAACCAACTAAGCCACCCAGCCAGGGCTGTCTGTCTCTCTTTTTTTAAAAAATTGATTTCAGAGAGAGGAAGGAGGAGAGAGAAAGAGGTAGCAACATCAATGATGAGAAAGAATCATTGATTGGCTCCCTCCTGTACATTCCTTACTGGGGATCGAGCCCGCAACCCAGGCATGTGCCCTGACTATCAAACTGTCACCTCCTAGTTCAGTGATGGCGAACCTTTTGAGCTCGGCGTGTCAGCATTTTGAAAAACCCTAACTTAACTCTGGTGCCGTGTCACATACAAAAATTTTTTGGTATTTGCAACCATAGTAAAACAAAGATTTATATTTTTGATATTTATTTTATATATTTAAATGCCATTTAACAAAGAAAAATCAACCAAAAAAATGAGTTCGCATGTCACCTCTGACGGGCGTGTCATAGGTTCGCCATCACTGTCCTAGTTCATGGGTCAACGCTCACTACTGAGCCACACCGGCCAGGCTGTCTGTCTCTTTTTATGTCCCCCCCTTGCTCTGATCCCTAAACTCTTTGTCTGCATCTCTCCCCACATGCCACCTTCAGAGGCCCCCATGGCGTCTGGACGATGGAGGAGCGGGGCCTGGCTCCCAAGTTCGACACCACCTTCGAGAGCGCACGGCCCACACAGACGCACATGGCGCTGGTGCAGCTGGAGCGCGTGGGCCTTCTCCGCTTCCTGGTCAGCCAGAACGTGGATGGGCTGCACGTGCGCTCTGGCTTTCCTAGGTAACACCCGCTCCCTCTCTCTGGACTCCGTTTCCTTATTTGCAGAACAGAGGTTGATGGCAGCCCTCCCTCGGGAGGGCGATGTGGCCACAGGGGACAGCACTGGACACTGAATAGGACTTCTCCCACCAGAGCTGTCATTGTCAGTGCTTCCTGGGCACATCTCAAGAATTCGGTCCCCTTTTTTCAGGTCCCAGGGTGTCTGCAATCTCCCTTGAGGTGGGGAGGAGGGTGGTCAGGGTCTAGGATTTACAGTTGCATTTTATTTATTTTTTATTTTATTTTATTTTTTAAAAATATGTTTTATTGATTTTTTTACAGAGAGGAAGGGAGAGGGATAGAGAGTTAGAAACATCGATGAGAGAGAAACATCGATCAGCTGCCTCCTGCACATCTCCTACTGGGGATGTGCCCGCAACCAAGATACATGCCCTTGGCCGGAATCGAACCTGGGACCTTTCGGTCCGCAGGCCAACGCTCTATCCACTGAGCCAAACCGGTTTCGGCTACAGTTGCATTTTAATATTCGTGTTTATAACTTTTACTCTGAATGTGAACATTGGTTTTGGGCAGAAAGGTTGATTCCTTAATGCCAAGTGTGTCGCCCTCCCTACCCACTTTCCCTGATCTTACCCTTGGGGACAAGAGAGCCCCAGTTAGTTCATACAAGTAGCCAGGCCCTCCAGGCAAGCGGGGAGGGAAAGGACTTGTCTCTGCTTGCAGAGGAGACCGAGGCAGCCGTCCTCTGCACTTCTGAAATGGGCCAAGTCCGAACTCCAGGCTTCAGGCACAAATAAAATTTCTCCAGGAGTCAGACAGCTCTTCTGACCTAGAAATGTCTCCAAGTTCTGGGCCTTCATCCATTTCAACATGTAAATACCTGAGAAAGGAAGACCCCAGCCTTCCTGGCTGGGTGACCCTGGGGCCCTATTCAAGCTGTAACTGCTGGGCACCTTATTGTCCCTCCAAGCAGAGTAATTCACTAGGTAGGTGGCTGCAGACCTAGCCCTTATGGCCTGTGTAGACGTTTCTAGAAATGAAAGCAAACGTATAGCAAATACATTCCTGTGGCACGGGTGTTTAGGGCTTCTACAAAAACACAGAAGTCCCGGTCCCTACACCTGGGCAGCGTTGAGCTGGGGTGTGTAGGTGGATGTGACAAAGCCACCCAGAGATAGAGGGGAGCCGCTGGGGGGAGGGGACAGGAGTGTATCTGGGGATTTCAGTGCCTTCAGTTTCCTGACTGATGGGTTTTTGGTCAGCTCCCTCGCCTTCACCCAGGCCACTCCCAGCACGCACTGCCCACTGCTCAGTGACACCAGTCTCTGTGTGCAAACTGGAGAGATACCAATCCCCCAGCACCACCTGGGTACAGGTAGGAGCAAAATGGGCCACACTCAGCAACTATTTATTGAGCACCTACTGCATGCCATCTCAGTTCTAGAGGCAGGACATAGCATACCAGACAGACAGAAAGCCCTGCCCTCCTGGCTTATGCTATAGTGGGAAGGAAACAGGCAGCAAACAAGATAAATAAGCATACGTATTAAATTCTATGTCCGACAGTGATCATTGCCACAGAAGGAAAAGAGGGTTGTGCAGGGAGGACTGTGTGGGGAATTGCAACTTTTAACAGGGAGGTCAGGGTGGCTATGACATTTGAGTAGGGACATGAAGGAGGTGACAGAGGGAGCCATAGAAAAGAGCCTTCCAGGCCTAATCATTGTTCCCTCAAACATCCTAAGAGTTGGACACTGTCATCCTATTTCACAGATGGGGATTCAGGCACAGAGAGGTTAGGTGACCTGCCCAAGGTCACACAGCAGGGAAGCAACAGTGCTAAGAGTTGATTTCATATTCCTCTGTGTCAGAGCACATGCTCCAGAGCCACCTATCACTTCAATTTCTTCCTTTGCAAACTGGGAATTAGAATTCCCATCCTTCAGACCTGGTGACAGTGGGAGGTTCCACCACCCTTATGGGTGGATTTTGTTAATAGAATGGGCTGCCCAGGTATGGAGGTGGGGTAAGCTGTGAGGTTAATATTCCTTGGGCTCCGAGAGGTTGGGCCAGCTGCCTGGGGTTGCACACCCGGAGAAACCAGAAGGAGGGAGCCCATGGATCCTGTGGATGAGGGTTAGGGTTTGGGTAAGGCTTCCTGGAGGAGGAGGACTGGGCACCAGACCCAAAGCCTTAGGATTCAGGGAGCCCAGGCACCACCAAACCTCTTCTCCTCCCACAGGGACAAGCTGGCAGAGCTTCATGGGAACATGTTTGTAGAAGAATGTGTCAAGTGTAAGAGGTGAGTGTCACAAGGGCGGGGGGGCAGGCAAGGTATGGTGACCCAGGCCCATTTTTTGTCCCTTCCAGGTTGGGCTCTGCAAAGGGGCCTTATGAGTTGAATCTGAGACCAAGAGACCCAGGGTTGGGGGACAGGACTGGGGTGTGACCCTGGGGGTGTGGGGCAGCAGGGCACATCTTCCTCCTGGGGAGGTGTATTCATTTCCTGTGGCTGCCACACGTAATCACAAACCAAGTGGTTTAACACAACAGAAATGTGTGTCCTCGCAGTTCCGGAAGCTAGAAGTCCAAAATCCAGGTGTTGGCAGGGCCATGCTCCCTCTGAAACCCGCAGGGGGATCCTTCTGACCGCTCTGGCTTCTGGTGGTTTCTGACCTTCTGGGCGTCCCTTGGCTGTAGATGCAGCACTCCAGCCTCTGCCTCTGTTGTCACATGCCCGTCTCCTCTGTGTCTCCTTTCTTACAAGGGTACTAGTGTGGGAGCAGGGCCAGACTACTCCAGTGTGACCTCCTCTTAACTCATGACCTCTGCAGCCACCCTCTTTCCAAATATGGTCACATTCCAAAGTACCGGGATCAGGACTCCTACATATCATATGGGGCACACAGTTCAACCCGTAACAGGGTTGTGGGCTGACGGGTGTGACCCCGGGTCCGAGAAGGCTGAGCCAGAGCCCTTCCTGGAATAAGTGGGCTGTGGGCGTGTCTTCCTCTGTGGGGGAGCCTCACAGATACGGATAACTGTGGGTGTCAGTGGCAGGAGCGTGACCCTGCCCACCTCCTGTAGGTGGGCTCTTGGGGACTGGGGCACAAGTGAGACCCCCCTTCACACACTTAACTTGGTATAAAAATTTTTTTCCTCCATATTTGAAGAATGTTCAAACCAATGGAAAATGCATAAGAATGTATGATGAACTCATACTTAACCTAGACCAGCAGTTAAACATTCCTGTAAAGGGCCAGATGGTAAATATTTTCAGCTTTGTGGGCCAGACTGTTTTTCTCATGACCATCGGCTTCGCTGTTGTAGTGCAAAAGCCACCATAAATGACACATAAAGGAATCGGCATGGCCATGTGCCAATAAAACTTTATTTATAAAAACATAACAGGAGGGCCAGATTTGATCCCTGGGGCCATAGTTTGCTGACCCCTGAATAGATTCCCAATATTACTGTTTTGCCACAATTTGTCTTCCCTTCTCTCTCTGTTACCAGGGTTTGCTGTGCTGTTCAAGAATAAGTGGCAGGCTTCCTTATCCTTTGCCCCAAAACCCTTAAGACATTTATCTCCCTCAAGCTTCAGTATCCTCTTCCCCAGCCACAGTGTAGTTGTTAAAGTTGGGAAATGTAAAAACCACGTAACACGATGATTCCATCTCCAATTAATATTCCCCGTGCTCCCATCATTGCTATTTTCCTCCTCGTCCAAGGTCCAAGCCAGGTCACACTCTGCATGTCACTGTCACGTCTCTTTAGTCTCCTTTGTCTAGAACAGTTCCTGGCCTTTCTGTTTCCCATGCTGTTGATGTTGCGAAGCAGCTGTTTCATGGAACTCTCCCTCCCCGCCCCTCCTCTGGGCATGTTTGCTGTTTCCCTGTGCTTAGATTCTAGTCATGTAGCCCCTACTTCCCTGGGAGAACAAGGACCACTGGGTGGGGCCCTAAGGTGGGAAGGTGGTGGGCTTGACCAGGCCCCACCATCCCTCTTTCCTTCTCCAACGTAGGCAATATGTCCGGGACACTGTGGTGGGCACCATGGGCCTCAAAGCCACTGGCCGGCTCTGCACCATGGCCAAGGCAAGGGGCCTGCGGGCCTGCAGGTGAGTGACCCCTGTCCATGCCTTGGGCTCCCGGGGAGGCGGCAGGTCTCCATACTGACTCCCCCTAACCCTCACCATCGCAGGGGGAAGCTGAGAGACACCATCCTGGACTGGGAGGATGCTCTGCCCGAACGGGACCTCACTCTTGCTGATGAAGCCAGCAGGTCAGACCCCCAGATGAGCCCAGGGTGGGGCAGGCAGAGAGAGGGGCAAAAGCACAACCAGCTTCAGCACAGGGCAAGGAGCTCCAGCTCAGAGGTGGAGTCAGGAGAGGCTTCCTGGAGGAGGCGGCTTGAACCCTATTTGGGCATTGATTTCCCCTAATAATGGCAGCTGCTAGGTACTAGCCCTCTTACATACCTGACCCTGGGCCAGGGGCTTCATAGACACGGTACTCACCACAGCCCAGGGGGTTCTACACTGGGCCCATTTTACAGGCAAGGAAACTGAGACTTTAGCAAGGTGACTCCTCTGTCCCGTGCTACCCAGCCAGGATTCAACTCAGGAGTCCAAGTGTGGAGGTCCCGCCCACATCAGCAACTCCCCTCTGCCAGCAGTGGGAGGGAAGCTCGGCCTCCCGGGGTGCACCTGGGCATGTTGGGGTAGAGTTTGAGACCCCCACCCCCAAGGGTGAGGCCAGAGGAGGGCTGCAGAAACCCTTGTAGAGAGGTCAGCCTAACCCCGCCTCCCGGCCCCAGGATCGCGGACCTGTCTGTCACACTAGGCACCTCCCTCCAAATCGGGCCCAGCGGGAACCTGCCGCTGGCCACCAAGCGCCGCGGAGGCAGGCTGGTCATCGTCAACCTCCAGCCCACCAAGCACGTATGTGTTGAGCCCGCCCCGGACCTTTCCCCCAGCCCAGGACCCGATGCACCCTCTGCCTCCGCTCACATGTCCTTGCGCCCGCAGGACCGCCAGGCTGACCTCCGCATCCACGGCTACGTAGACGAGGTCATGACCCGGCTCATGAAACACCTGGGCCTGGAGATCCCCGCCTGGGACGGGCCCCGCGTGGTGGAGAGGGCGCTGACGCCCCTGCCCCGCCCGCCCGCCCCCAAGCTGGAGCCCAAGGAGGAGGCCCCCACCCAGTTCGACGGTCCAGCACCGGCCAGCCCCAAGCGAGAGTCCACAACCGAACCCCCTGCTCAGCACAATGGTTCCGGGCCCGTCAGCCCCAAGAGGGAGCAGCTGGACAGTCCTGTCCCCCGCAGGACCCCTAAAAGGGTGAAGACCGAGCTGCTTCCCAGCTGACAGGGGACCCGGGCGGGCGGGCTTTTTGTAGAAACCGTGCGTTTGTCTTTTTCTTACCGTCTCACTTTGTGACCTGCCTCTGTCCTGGGGCAGATCTCAGGGCAGTGAGAGCTGTGCTATACCTGCCTTCCATTGGGGCTTCCTTCAGCCGTGGGCAAACTACGGCCCGAGGGCCGGATAGAAATGAATAAAACTAAAAAAAAAAAGACCGTACCCTTTTATGTAATGATGTTTACTTTGAATTTATATTAGTTCACACAAACACTCCATCCATGCTTTTGTTCCGGCCCTCCGGTCCAGTTTAAGAACCCATTGTGGCCCTCGAGTCAAAAAGTTTGCCCACCCCTGCTTTAGCTCCAGGGGTCTGTGGTAGGGGCCTGGGGAGGAGCCACCCTGCCCTGGACCCTGACCTTCGGGCTGACACCGCAGGTACCTTCTCTGCTCCAGCCCACGACTCAGGACGTTTTCTGGGGGAGATGTGGCCACGCCCTCCCTCGGTTTCCAGCCTAAACAGAAATTAACTCCCTCTGCTCCCTGGGCCCTCACACCCCCAACCCCTGCCTCCCCCAAATGGCCTCAGTCCCTCCAGAGGGGGAGGGGCAGATCCTCCATTTCAGAGCCAAACTTCGTGGTGGGACCGGCAGTAGGGTGTGGCACTGCCTTGGACTGAAGGGAGAAAGGGGCCCACCCGGCTCCCTCCAGGCTTCCAGAAAAGTCTTCAGTGCAATAAAAGCATTCTTTCTTGCATCTGGGTCTGTGTGTAACACCCACAGCCTGCACCGGGGGGAAGGAATGTGTGGCTCCCTCCACCCCCAGGACGTCAGCCTGGGCTCCCATGCAGTCCAGACGCAGGGCAATAGCTGCTGGCGCTCCTTAAACTTTCAGTTTGTAATTGTGTACCTATCTGCATGGGTTTTAATATTTGCCCTCACTGCTAGGCTGTGAGCCACGCAAGGAGAGATCCTTTGGTCGCGATTGCAGCCCTGGGACACCTGCGCAAAGGGGCAGGGCTGGGGTGACCCCTAAGAGCTCAGGTGAAACTGGGTTCCACCCCAACCCAGCGGTAACCTTAGACCCTCAGTCTCTTCCTGGGTGAGGCGAGCAGGGTGGGCAGCCCGGCCCTCTCGGAAGGAAGGCGGATGCTCTTGCAGGGCGTCTGGAGGCCGCCAAAGACACCAGGACCTCGCGCTCCGCCGGCTGCCGCTCTCCACGGTGCTGAAGACATGCCTGGCGCCTCATGGGCCGCCTCGCCAGCCTGGGTGCCTGGAATCCCCCACTTTACTCCCCCACCCCAGGCTCGCCCAGCCCCACCTTCTGGGGGTTGGAGAGCCCCACACTCCAGCTTCTACCCAGTTACACTCCCACACCAGCCATGTTCTGTCACAATATTTTATTAAGGATCACGGCAGTCAGAGAAGGTGGAGGGTGGCCACGGCCATCCCAAGTTCAGAGCCCAGCCATGGCTTAGGGGCCAGGCCCCCTGCAGTCTCAGTCACTTCCTCCTCCCTGTGTGTGAGGGAGGGGAGGAGTCCCCAGGCAGCGCAATTGTTGAGGCACGTTGTGTGTTTATGTCTGTCAGGGTCTATGGATCACTGTGGATCTGCCTGTCCGTTCTGTGCCTGGGTCTGTCTGTCTTTCTCAGGCTTTGTGGCCTCAGGGTTGCCCTGGGTCTGAGCATCAGTTTCTGCTCCTGTGTCTGGGTCCCTGGGTATGTAACTGTGTGTTTATGCATCTCCATCCTGGCATCTCCACAGGGGTCTCTCTCACCTCCAATCCCCTGCCTCCACTGCAGCGCCCACCACAGGGCCCCTGAGCAGAGGGGCCTGGAGTCACATCCAGGTGGCACTCACAGCTCCTCCCCCACCGCCTCCAGCCCCACCAGACCTGGGCTGAGTGCTGGCTCAGATGAGGCCCAGTCCAGCAGGGTGGCCTGGCTCAGCTCCTCTGCCCAGTTGCCCTGGACCAGGGTCGACTTGTTCAGCTCCTCCGTCGAGTTTTCCAGAGCCAGCATGTCCTGGGATTTCCAGTGCACCCTGGGGCTGCGTGGAGACCCTCCCTGAGGTGCGCCAGCCTCGGCCTGAGGTCCTGGGGCCTCGGAACCTGGCCTGGTGTCGGGGGCCACACGGGAAGCGGCGTCGTTGTGCAAAGTTCTGGAGAAGACTGAGCGAGGGTTGGGAGTTCATGAGGGATGGGGTGGGGAGACTGGTGGTCCTTCTTTCCTTATCTCCCAGCTTCAGGGAGTAGCTGCATGGGGGGCTCCTTCTCCCTCCCCCAGAGGCCCAGTATTGGGACGTGAGGAGCCATGGGGATGTCCATGATGCAGCCCAGAGGGGACCCCGAAGTGATCCTGGCCCACCTACCTCGCACAGGTGTGAAGTCTCCGGGGCTCTCGGCTTTGTTGAGGGCAAAAGGGCTGATGGAGGGGAGGACGATGAGGGCAAAAGAGAGCAGCAGGACCTGCCAGAGATGGGGGTGGGGTCACCCCATCCCTCCACCATCCCTATAAGCCCACCCATCTTTTGGGCAGGGAAACTGAGGCCCAGAAGACTGGATTATGCTTGAACTGGGGCCAGGGCCATGCTACTCACACCTTTCCCCCTCCCACAGGCCAGTCTGTCAAGGCTGAGGAACCCCTTTATCCTAGGGGCCATCAGAGCAGAGGGCAGGACTCACCGCTATGCAGGTGCCTGCCTGGGCTGACTTGCTGGTGGACTGGACTACAATGGCCTGGAGTTTCTTCAGCTGCTCCAAGAGGGACCTTAGTGGAACGAGCAGCCTTGGCTGAGCCCTACAGGGCCTTACCCTGGTTCTCTGTCCATTTCTTGGGTTCCCCAGCATGGCTGATGTCTGGATTCTGTCCACCCCTCAAGGGCCCCCGCTCTTACAAGTCCCAGCTTTGCTTTGGTAAATCTCCAATGGCATCCCACCCACTTTTCTGCCACCCCATCCAGGCCTCCAGGATCGCTCACCTGGATGCCAACCCAAGCCTCCTCTCTGGTCCCCCTCAGCTCTACCCCCCCTCCTGCCCCCCTGCCTCTCCTGCCCCCACTCAGCAACCGGGGACGCTTTCCAAATGTGAAACAGCTTCTCCCAACCCTCTCAGGGCTCCCACCTCCCTCAAGTCCTCTCTGCAGCTGAAGCCCTGCACAACTTGCCCCTGTTCCCTCCCTCACCCTCACTCACTCTGCTCCAGCCACACTGGCCTCCTCACCATGCCTCCAGCATGCTGGGCCCCAGGACCTTTGCACAGGCTATTCCCTCTAAGGACACTGTTCCCCCAGGTCTCTTGGCAGCTGGTTTTTTTCTCATCCCATTAGGCCTCATCTCAAATAACACTGTATCTGACCTTCCTATCTGAAATAGCCCCGCAGCCATGGCTGGGTAACAAAGCACCAGACGGTTAGAGCACTGTCCCGATTTTCCAAGGTTGTAGGTTTGATCCCTGGTCAGAGCACATACAAGAATCAACCAAAAGCCCTAGCCAGTTTGGCTCAGTGGATAGAGCATTGGCCGGTGGACTGAAGGGTCCCAGGTTCTATTCCAGTCAAGGGCCCAGGTTGCGGGCTCAATCCCAGTAGAGGGTGTGCAGGAGGAAGCCGATCAAAGATTCTCTCTCATCATATATGTTTCTATCTCTCCCTTTCTCTCTGAAATCAATAAAAATATATTTTTAAAAAAAGAATCAACCAATGAATGCATAAATAAGCAGAACAACAAATCAATGTTTCCCTCTCTCAAATCAATATAAAATAGCCCTTCACTCTACTTTGTTTTTCTTCCTAAGAACTATCACTATCTGTGTGATCTTTTATATATTTTTGTTTGTCTTGAGTATGTCTCCCACTAGACTGTGAGTTCTTTAAGTGGAGGGACTGTGTCTTTGTTCATTTGTGGTCCCAGTGCCCAGAACTATGTCTGATGCAGAACAGATGCTAAATAAACTGACTAAGTGGATGCACCCCTTAGATGGAATTATGTATAGTCTCCAATTACCATGCTCCTAGCCTCAGGCCATTCATATGCCATTTCCTCTACAGACAGTAGCTTCCCCCATGAACTCTTATACATCTTTTTAAGACCCCAGATCCAAATCTTCTCCACTATGCAGCCTGCCTCCTTTCTAGGTGGAATCCTTACCCACCCCCCCCCCCGCCCCTGACCCCCGCTCTGCCCTGCCATCACAGAAGTTGCCCCCCTCCCCCACAATGTTCACCTCTCCTGCCAGGGATTTGGGGGCCGGTTCCCCCTGTCCTCTGCCCTGGCTGGACCAAGACTCACTGGTTCTGCTTCTCGAGATGCAAGACCTTCCTCTGAAGCTCCTGGTTCTGGGCAGTGCAGGCCGACATCCTGCAGGGACAAGGCACAGTGACATTCAGGGTATGCCGGTCACCAAGGGTCCCATCACCTCTTCCTGTGAGGCTCACTTCACAGGCAGGGAACCCGAGGCCAAAGAGGGGAAGTCACTTATTCCAAGTCACCCTGGCAAGTCCGAGGGCCAGGATTGACCCATGTCTGCCAGGTTTCTAGGCCCCATCTCTGCATTGGTGTGGGGGCTTCGTTCAAGTCTGAGCCCCCCTGATTGGAATGGAATGCCGAAGTCAGGCAGTGATGCTTCCAGAAGATGAAATAGCAGGGAGTCTGGGCGTCCAAGGAGAACCAAGTGACACCCCTCACCATCCCTGTGACCTTGAGCCACTCAGCTCTCTGACCGGACCTCAGGCCCCTCATTTGTAAAGTTGGGTTACAATTATTTAGTTCACAGAGGGGCTGGGAGGATGGCATGAAACACAGTTGAGTAGGGGCTTGGCAGATTGCATTTGAGGAACAAGACAATGACTGTTGTTCCATCTAGGGTTCTGATGGAACACCTTTCCCTCTGCATCCATCTGTGAACGTGGTCGTGGCCCAGACCACTCAGATGTGGAGTCTAAATACTCAGATCACAGCAGGAGGATGTGTCAGTCCTCACATCACAACCAGGGAAGAGAAGACACTCCCTCTCTGAAAGGTCCTCTTTCTAAATAACTCACAAGATAAAGAAGAATTAGAGAACACCTAGGGTCCACATGGCAATGACAGCAGTACAAATCAAAATGTGTGAGACGCAGCTAAGGTGGTGCTGAGAGGGAAATTACAGCCTTCATTCAGCTCAATGAGCTAAACAACAGCATCAAATCCACCATCACCACCCCACACACAAAAAGCCAGTCTAAGAAAGACATAACAAAGCTTACAGTAGAGATGAAAGAACGGGAAAAGAAAAATACAACTGGATGGGAGGGAAAGCCAGAAATCCATTCTTTGCAAAGACTAATAAAAGACACAAACTTCTAACAAGATTGATCAAAAAGATTTAAAAAAGGAAGAGAAGGCACAAATAAATGAATTATTAAGAAGGGCAGCCTGACCGGTTTGGCTCAGTGGATGGAGCATCGGCCTGCGGACTGAGAGGTCCCGGGTTCGATTCTGGTCAAGGGCATGTGCCTTGGTTGCGGGCACATCCCCAGTGGGAGGTGTGCAGGAGGCAGCTGATCGATGTTTCTCTCTCATCGATGTTTCTAGCTCTCTATCTCTCTCCCTTCCTCTCTGTAAGGAATCAATAAAATATATTTAAAAAAAAAAAGAAGGGCAGAATTATAAGCCAGCCAGTGTTGCTCAGTGGTTGAGCATCGACCCATGAACCAGGAGGTCACAGTTTGATTCCTGGCCAGGGCACATGCCCGGATTTCAGACTCAATCCCTAGCGGGGGGTGTGCAGGAGGCAGCCAGTCGATGTTGATGTTTCTCTCTCATTTATGTTTCTCTCTCTCTTCCTCTCCCTCTAAAATCAATAAAAACATTTAAAAATAATAGGAGAAAACTAGAAGCCATTTTATGTCAATAAATTTGAAATCGGCATCTTCACAGAAAAACAACATCCCAAAACGGACCCAGGAATAAGTAGGAAACCCAAATAGACCTGTAACATTCCATAAAGTCATTCTTGGCCGTCACAACAGCTCTGGGACCAGTGATCTCAACCAGGGACGTATGCATCCCATACCCCATGTTCTGGCACGGAGCCAGACAAGATGGATAATACCTCCCTCTCTCTTGGTACCACATATTCTGGAGACAAAGGGACTCTGAAACCCTTGCCCTGAGCCAGCTCTAGGCATATCCCATCCCTGCAACTCACATGAAAAAAGGTCTCCCCTGGAGAGGGAAGACGACCCTAATTTTGTCAGGCCTTATAAACTGACCTTAGGCCCATTACATCCCTTTCTCTGGGCCTCAGTTTCCCCTGAGTGAGCCCAGCCTTACCGAGTCTCCAGGCCATCAATATATTCCTTCTTCTTTTTACGGCTTTCTTGGGCTGACTGTTTGTTCCGGATTTTCCGACGGATTTTTTTCAGGACTCGCTCCTCATACTGCCAGGTGACATGGGGAACAGGCTGAGTCAGGGGTCTCCTCTGTTGTCTGGACCCCACAACTTCACCCATTCTCTTCCCAGGGGAGCCATCCCAGGCCCGGGGACGTGGGGGCAGACTCCTGATGATTTCAAGTCCAGCTTTCCTACCCCTAAATTCTTGCAGATCTCTAGGAGAGTCCTGGGTTCTGGAATCTATCCAGCTCCTATTCCCAGTTAGTAACGTGCTACCAAACTCTGTGTATGGTGCAGTTGCGCCACCTTCTGGTCATAGCTGAGACCAGTGCTTTTCATGGGGCCCGCTGATACCAACACTAATGTCTTCCAATTGGAATGGCAAACTCGGGTGTTTGACATTACCTGAAAGGGCTGGGTGAGAACTGTGGCGAGAGAGAGAGGTCCCACTAAGTTGGCTCTTTGGATGACTTTTTTACTCCGGTGGTAGACACGCCCAACCGTTTTAGTGTGGGAGGCCTATAGGTGAGACTCAGGGGCAGCTGGCGGCAGAAAGGGGGAAAGACTCAGCCACGGGTCTCACCAACTCACCTTGGTGAGGGGCAGCTGGGTGGGCAGAGAGATGCCTTCTTTGGCCAACAGTTTCTTCTCGTCCTCAGTCAGCACTAGTTCCGGGCAGTGCCCAGTCCCAGGTCTCAACAGGTGGGGGGCCGCCAAGGCATGCTGTTGCTATGGAAAAACCAGGGGAATTGCGTTGGGGGCAGAGAGAGGGACAGCCTTTGGGAAATGAAAGAGGCATCAGATTTGAGCAACAATCCATCCATCTGCTGTAGAGCCCCCACTGGCCGGACACAGCCCTCTGACCCAGCAACTTCTCTTCCAAGAATTGATCTTACAGATACCCTCCCACATATGCAAAAGCGGGGACATACAGGATTTTCATTCACTCAACAAAGACACGAGACAGCTGTTTATAGCCGCCTACTACATTCCAGGCACCATTCTGGCTGTGCACACTCATTGTAACACTGTCTGCAATGGCAAAGGATTGGAAGCAATAAAAATATCCAGCAAATAAGGCACGACCCATTTGCACAATGGAGTTTTACACAACCCTGAAAAGGGACGGCTCTCCACGTCATGCTATGGAGCAATCTCCATAATAAACTGTCAACTTAAAAAAAGGGGGGGGGGGCAAAACATTGTTGCATGTGGCCCGCTACCTTTTATATTAAAGTTGTTTTTAAAGGTATCTCTTTTTGGAAAAAAATTGAACCTGTGCGGGGAGCTGGGTGTCTGGGCAACGGGGTGAGAAGGTGGGTCTCCCAATCTACGCATTTGTTCCGTTGGAACTTGGACTGTGTGAATGCATTTCCCTATTCAGAATAGTTTCGATTAAATTTAAATTATTCAAGATAAACATTAAAAATGAAAGAATCTTGTCATCAGAATGTCCAAGTCTTAGCAATGTCACATTTCTAAGGAGTGGGAGACTCAGGCATAAAGGTGGAGATTGGGGCCAGTCTGTCATTCTTTGGGTCAAACTCCACTACCTAGAACTCCAGTTCATTGATTAGTCCAACCATTTTCTCTCCAGGGTCCAAGCCTCAGTGTGCTCATCAGTAAAATGGGGATAAGGTCTCCCACACCTTAAGGTTGTTGACATGAAGAACAATGATACTGAACTTGATGCATTTACCAAACCCAGTTAGCGTTTCCAAAGCAATCATTCTCCTTTCCTATCCTTCAAGGCCGCTAGGGTTCCACCTCCTCTAGGATGCCCTCCAGGACCTGCAGTGACCCTCCAGCCTCTCTCCCTTATTGGTACACTTTCATGAGATCCCCAGAGACTGAGCACACAGCTGGTGCTCACCCCACATCTTTCAAGTTGGGAGGGGCATTTTGGTCTGGCCTAGAGCCTGTCAGGATGACTTTTGGTATCAGACAAACTGGAGTTCAAATCCGACTGGGCTACTTGTTTGCTGTGTCACTTGGATTTAAGCTCTCTGGGCCTTGACTTTCTCTGGGCCTTGAGGAATGAGGACACTAATTGGGTTGTTAGATCTGGTTGAGAGGTACTGGAAGCCCTCAGTCAGCATGGAATGGGCCCAACAGGCCCAACAGGCCAGCCCAAGGATAGAGCCTGCAGCCGCTGGGTGGCTAAAGGCAAATGAACTTCTCTATGCCCATTTCTTTAGATGTAAAATTAAGATAATATGAGTCCCTGCCTGGCCAGGGTAGGTCAGTGGTTGAGCGTCAACCTATAAACCAGGAGGTCACCGTTTGATTCCTGGTCAGAGCACAGGCCTGGGTTTCAGGCTCGATCCCCAGTAAGGGGAGTGCAGGAGGCAGCCAATAGATGATTCTCATCTCTTTCTCCCTCTCCCTTCCTCTCTGAAATCAATAAAAACTATTTTTAAAAATATATAATATGATCCCCAATCTTCAGGGTTATTGTGAATTAAAATATTATACATTTAAAGCATGTAGAAGAGTGTCTGACCTGTAGTAGGTGCTCAGTAAGTTTTAGATTTATTTTTTATTTTTTTACTACCACTATAGTAGAAAATGTCCCAGCTCAGGAGATAGAGAACTCAGGGCTGGAACCCACAGACTTGATTTGGATGTGACCCTGGACAAATCCAGCCTTTGTCTGTGACTCAGTTTTTCAGTCTCTGAAATGGGGATGTTGGGGCTCCGTGCACCCCAGCGGCCCTCCCAGCTCTGATGCTTGGGAGCCGGGGGTAGAGGCTGCTCACCAGGTCTCCACCACTGCCGGAGAGGAGGAGGTCTTTCACCGTGAGGTTGCAGCTTGGGGGCGACACTGCCAGCTCAGCCTGCTCCTCAGGATAGAGGCCCGGGTTCCACATTTCTAACCAGGGCAGACGGGGACAAAGACAGGGAGAGTGTCAGGTGGGGGGCTCTGACCTCCCAGCTTCTACCTGCCTCCTCCACCAAGGCTTCCAGGATTGACCACAATGTGCTAAGGATTTTTGGTACAACTTGGGGCCCCGAGGCCTGGGTTGAAGGGGACAGACCCGGCTGGTGCCTCAGGCTCCCCTCTCTGGAAGATAGAAACCCAAATTCATCAGGACATAGTCGAGGGGCCCACTCAGGAGCTGGGGGTAGAGCCAATCAGGAGAGAGAGGCTCTTATCGCCCAGGATTCTCGACCAGATTTGCAGCCAGCCAGGCCTTATCTGCCTTTGGGGCAGGGACCAGGTCTGATTCACCTCTGGCTCCCTCCCACCTGTGCCCAGCCCACTGGAAGTGAGCTGCTCTCCAGAGCACAAACTTTAGAGTCTCATTCTCATGGCGTGAAACGTGTGCCCTTGGGTAAGCAACTAAACCTCTCTGAGCCTCAATTTCTTCAACTCTCCAAGGGGACTCACAAGAGCTCCCACTCTATTGCAAGGCTCAAAGGACAAAGGATGCCCTGCTGGGGTGTCTTCTGCATAAGGCCTCCCCCGAGAGGAGGCCTTCGCCACTGGGATCCATGACCTCTCTCCCTGTCATGGAGCATCTACTAGGACCCAGGCCTGGGAGGTACAAAGATGAGGTTGGCGGCATGACACCTGGTGCCACGGCCAGCCTGCCGTGGGTGCGTCCCAGCTCTGTGACTTGGACTTGCTGCTTAACCTCATGGGAACTCAGTTTCACCATCTGGAAAATGGGCCCATGAGAGCATCCATCTCAAAAGGGTGGGTATGTGTGTAAAGAGGTAAGGGCAGTGAGAAAAGACACAGAACTCACCCAGGTCTATAGCCACGGAGGCCTCGAGCACTTGGGCCCCTGGCCCAGGAGGCCTGCTGGGGCTGTGGGGGACAGGAAGGTAGGAGGGGCAGAGCCCCTTGCCAGACTCCGAGAAATGGCAGCCGGCCGGGGCGGTGGCGGGCACGTTGTGTGGAGGGGTGTCCTGGGGGTCGGAGGGCAGATCTTCAGAGATGCCGCTGTCACTGTCCGCAGGAGACCAGAGAGGAGAGCTTGGCACCGAGTCTCCAGAACCCAAGATACAGCTGAAGAAATCCTCCGAGTCCGGGGCTGGCAGGACCTGCTGGGAGGAGGGGGCGGGAGTGAGGAGGTCTGTGCTTTGCTCTGGATTGCTGTGTGACTGTGGGCAAGCCCCTGACCTCTCTGGGCCTCCCTTGTCCTTTCTACCAGAATGAAGGCTTGTGGGGCTTGAACACAATCATGTACCGTGAGAACACCATCCAGCCTGGTCAAGGCACGAGCCCTGAGTCTGAGTTTGGACCCAACTCCAAACTGCTGTGTGACCCAGACAAGGGACTGGGCCTCGGATTCATCACTTCCAAGGCACCGATGCTGCCCGCCCCCTGGGGGAGCTGAGAGGTTCAATGCAACAATGTGCTTTGCTGAAATCACACACCGTGAGCCGGAAATGCTACCGAGCCCAGGGAAGTTCTATCTGCAGTGGGGGCCTCACCTGGTCTCCGGCGTGGCCCCAGTCCTCACCCAGATCTTCATGTCTCAGGATTCCATCCTGTCGATCAAACAGGAGGTCCAGGAGCTCCAGGCTGTCGATGGGGCCCACCAGGCAGGTGGAGGACGCCATCTGGGGAAGGACGGACAGGCATGAGGGTCACACAGCCCCTCCCCTCCCCATCTCCCATCTGCATACCACCCAGGCCTGCCCAGCTCAAGTTCAATCTCCACTCAATCCCTAGGCCTGGCTTCCACCTCCAAATCTGCTCAGGGGCTGACCCAGAGTTGGGGGGGGGGGCAGGGGAGGGAGTCAGTTTCTTTAAAAAGTGCTAGCAGATATACCCACAGGGATAATCAGCCAGGTCACTCCCTGGAGGCGGATAGAATTGGCCCTCTCATGGCCAGCCTGCCCATGTCCCCCCTCCTGGGAGGTGGGGGGCCTGGGAGAAATCAGAGAGCAGGCCTGGAATGGAGGCATGGTCTTGGTCACTGCGTTCTCTCTCTGGGCCTGTCTTCCCAGCTGTGCCATGTGTGGGGGTTCCTTCCAGCGCTGGGAGCTTGGGGAGAGTTTCCTGGCAGAGACCTTCCCTCCACCTTCGGACCCAGGCAGGGCTCACCTTTCCAGCTGGTAAATCTCCATTCATGAGCCCGGCCAGCTCTGCCTCCAGCTACTTTCCGTGGCTCTGATCCGTAGAGGCTCACCCCGAGTCTTGTTCCTGTCTGTGGATCTGTCTCCCCACCCCCCAAAGATGCTGAAATAGTCCTGGGGTGCTCCCAGCCCACCCCCGGCTGCTGATTGGGGGACAGGCAAGACGGACAGGGTAAAGGGCCAGTGATACCAGGGCAGGCTGGGGGGAGGGGAGAGAAGACCCGTTATCTTGATGTTTTGTGCTTTTCCTGCAGGCAAGGGGCAAAGGCCGAAGTCTGGGTGCCTCTGCTCTGCCATGACCTCTTCCCTACTTTTGGGGACTGTTTCTTATCAGAGTCCTAGACGTCGGGATAAAGGAGAGTCCAGGGCTCCTGGCCGGTCCAGTCCGCTCCTGGGACAGAACCAAACAGGAGGACCACCCCGACCTTTGCCGAAGCCGTTCTCTCCGCAGGCGCGCCCTTCCCTCATCACAGCTGGCAACCTCCTACCACCCTCCAAGCCCTCCAGGGCTGAACCCTGTAACCAATTCCTTCTAGGATCTTCTCTAGTTAATTTATTCAACAACTATTTACTGAGCCAAACTATTTTTTTTTAACGGAGCCTAACTTGTTTCCACCTCAGGGCCTTTGCACGTACAGTTCCCTCTATCTGGAACTCCCCTCTCCTCCACCCCTGACTCGGTCACTGTGCCCACTTATTCGTGAGTGTTTGATATTTGTGAATCAGCCCATCTCTGACCCCAGCAGAGAGAAGACCCCTCCCCATGTGTCTTTATCAGATCCTTGTTTTCACTGAACTCATTATTTAAAATGTTCTTGTGTATTAACTTGCTTGGTGTCTTCCCTCAGTTCTCCCCTCCCCACTGCACCCAGAATGGAAGGGCGGGGCTAGAATAGAGTCACTGCTGGGTCCTCAGTGTCCAGGAAACGCCTGGCATACAGTAGGTGCTCAACCAACTCCTCCTCATTGAGCACCTCCTATGTGCCAACCACCATTTAGGCCCTAGGGGTGAGGCAGTGAACGAGCTAGAACCATAAACGAATAAATAAACCAGTAAACAGATAAAGGGGTTAAGTACTACTGAGAAACTAAGCGAAACCATGATAAAGGTCACCTGAGGACTAGAAAAAGCCCCTTTTAGAAGGTGACATTTCCCTGAATGATGAGACAGAGGCAGCCATGGGAGACCTAGAGGGAAAAAAATAGCATAAAAAAATAGCATTAGCAGAGGCCCTGGGAGGGCTGTGCTGGCCAGTGGAGGAAGGTGGAGGGGCTGGGGTGCCTGCAGCAGAGTGAGGAAGAGGGAGAGAGGGAGGCGGTAAGGACAGGGAGGGCACAGGAGCAGGGCTCTGTGGGCTGAGGCAGGCGTTTGGCTTATACTAAACATAGCAAGAAGCTGTTGATGCCCGGCCGGTGTGGCTCAGTTGGCTTAGCTTTGTCCCATGCACCAAGAGGTGGCTGGTTCGATTCCCAGTCAGGGCACATACCCAGGCTGTGGGCTGGGTCCTTGGTAGGAGGCATTCAGGAGGCAGCCAATTGATGACTCTCATTGGTGTTTCTCTCTCTCTCTCTCTCCCCCTCTCTCTATAAAATCAATAAAAAAAATTGTTTTAAAGGCAGAGATTCTTAAAAAAAAAAAAAAAAGGAAGCTGTTGAGAACTTAGTGAATACACGGCTATATCAAGACTTCTGTATGCCAGGCATGATGCTAAGAGCTAGGTTTACAGCGGTAGCTAAAAAACCCTCCTTGCTCCCAAGAAATTTACATCCTGGTGTATATTTCTCAATGCATCGGTCATTATTTATTCATGCAACAAAAATTTAATGAGGACCTACTATGTGCCACACATGATGTGTTTCTTGTATCCAACCATAAGTTACATTGCAGCAGTTGCCCCCCCACCCCCTCCAGGGGCACTGAGCAATGTCTGGGGACATCTATGGTTGTCACAACTGAGGAATAGTCCTGGCATCGAGTAGGTAGGGGCCAGGGATGCTGCTTGGCACCCCACAGTGTCCATGACAGCCCCACAGAGAGTGACAGGACCTCAATGTCAGCAGTGCCCGGGGGGAGACCCTGCGTTACAGTAACTGTCCCCTCTGGATGCTGGTATCGTTACCTCGTCCTTGGCTCCCGGATCTCGCCTATTTCCTTTGCAATCCCTCTGAGGTGGATCTTTAAGGGGTTTGTTTGGTTTGGCTTGTCTCTGGCGATCCCGTCATAATATTTACTCAGCTTTCGCTGTGGAGGCACCGCGCCAGGCCCGTCCTGGCAGGTGTACCAAGTAGGTGAAATCTGACTTCTGGACTTCTCTCTGCCTCCCCCTCACCCCATTCCTGACTCTCAGGAGTCCAGGTTCCCTTGAAATAGGATTCCTCCTCCTCCTCTTGTGAAAACCTGCCAGAAAAAAGGAGGTGGCATTACTCATTTATATCTTCATGGAGGTTAAGACCCTCCTACTCCCCCTCCCCAGGATATTTGTATTTCTTTAAATGTTTATAATTATAGACTTCAGAAGGCTTTCCTAAACCCCAGTGAAGAACTGTCTGAACAAGTAGGATAGGGATAAGCATTTGAGGGAGAGCAGGCCTTTCGATGCCCCTGACATCACATTATCCCACTGACTAAACACAACCGCCTACTTCAAATGTCCATGATAGATCCCACCAATATGTTTACGTGTGAAACACAACCCCAAAGGGATGCTGTGGCCAAACCAGATGAGGGAACACTGTGCCAATAGACAGCTGTGCAGGACTTATCAGAGCCTTTACACTCTTGGAGGGAACAGAGTTTGTAGCATTCCCCAAACATACTTGTATAGGTGTGTTCTGTTTTTCACTTTTACTTGATTTATTCTGAACCATTTCTGACATATGAAAACGCTGAGAGATAACCACTAGAATGACTGAAATAAGAAGATAGACAACATCAGATGTGGTCGGAAGCTATGGAGCAATTGGAACTCTCACCCTGTTGGAGGGAATCAAAATGGCCCAATCGCTTTGGTAAACTTTGGAAAACTGGGCAGTCTCTTACGAAGTTAAACATTTATTCACCATATGACTTAGCAATTTCACTCCTGTGTATTTACCCAAGAGAAATGCAAGTGTATGTTCACAAAAAGACGTGAATGTTCATGACAACTCTATTCATAATTGTCCCCAACTGGAAAGAACTCAAATATCCAACAACAACAGAATAGATAAGCAAACTGGTATATCCATACCACACAATACTACTCAGCCAACACTCATCAAATTGAACACACCTAAGACGTGCATTATTATTGTAAATTAATCCTACTTCAATAAAAAGTATACAAAATATATAATAAACCATGCACATAAAACATTTAGAAACAACCAAAACATCCATTTAAAAAAATCCATCAAGAGGGCATTGATTAATAGAGTCTGATGCATTCGCATAATGGAATATTATGTAACTGTGAAAATGAATAAGGATTATTTGTACATACTGATAGGGGACAATATTATAAACATTGCACCATATATTTTCTTTATTGTGGTATGGTATGCATTCAACACATTTGTTTATTATCATTATTTTTTTAGTCCTTACCCAAGGATATTTTTTCCATTTATTTTTCTTTGAGAGAGTGGGAGGAAAGGGAGAGAGAGAGAGAGAGAGAGAAACATCAACTGGTTGCCTCCCACACATGCCCTGACCTGGGCTGGGGGATCAAACCCGCAACTGAGGTACGTGCTCTTGACTGGGAATAGAACCTTGAGACCCTTTGGTCCACAGGCCAATGCCCTAACCACTGAGCAAAGCTAGCCAGGGCTCAACACACATTTATTGTCTATTCTGTGTTAGGCAACAAAAATGCCTTTTGCTCCTTCCCTTCATCTATATTGGTTCAGGAGCTTAGCTAGTCAGAGAGAGGAAACGGTGTGGGGTGAAGAGCTAAAAAGTGTCCAGCTATGTCCTGGCCAGTATGGCTCAGTTGGTTAGTGTCGTCCTATGCACCTAAAAACGTTGCTGGGCCCTAACCGGTTTGGCTCAATGGATAGAGCGTCAGCCTGCGGACTCAAGGGTCCCAGGTTTGATTCCGGTCAAGGGCATGTACCTTGGTTGCGGGTACATCCCCAGTAGGGAGTGTGCAGGAGGCAGCGGATCGATGTTTCTCTCTCATTGATGTTTCTAACTCTCTATCCCTCTCCCTTCCTCTCTGTAAAAAATCAATAAAATATATTAAAATAAAAATCAACATTCTCCCCTTAAAAAAAAAAACGTTGCTGGTTAAATTCCCCATCAGGGCACATGCCCAGCTTGTGGGCTCGATCCCCAGTAGAGGGCATGAAGGGGGCAGCCGATTGATTTTCTCTCCCTCTCTCTCTAAAATCAATAAAGACATATTAAAATATATATATATATATATATATATATATATATATATATATATATAGTCTCCAGCTAGGATTCATCTGTAAAATAGGGACAATCATCATGGCAAGATCTACTGTGTGCAGTATCCCCAGTGCCTGGCACCATGCCTGCCACACAGTAGCTGCCCACTCAATACTTAGAGAAGGCACAACTGAACATCTATAAATATAACTGCTGAGTTTAGTGTATAACTGACAAACTACAGCCTGTAAGCCAATTCTGGCTCTCTGTTTGTTTTTGTAAATAAAGCTTTATTGGCACACAACCACACCCATTTGTTTATGGAATGTCTGTGGCTGCTTTGTATACAATGGCAGAGTTGAGCAGTTGCAACAGAGACCCTGTTGCCTGCAAAGCTGAAAATATTTAGTATCTGGTCCTTTTCAGAAAAAGTTGGAACTTGCTATTATTAGAAACTAGAGAACTGATGCATGAAATTCGTGCAAGGGGTTTGGGCCCCTGCCCGCCGTGGCTTCGTCTGGGAGGTTTTCTGGAAGGTGGTCCGGAAGGACATCTGGTCTAATTAGCATATTATGCTTTTATTAATATAGATAGCAAGGTTTAGCAGATTAGACCTGCTCTGCCCAATAAGGAGCCACAGGCCACTATGGCTATTGAACACTTGAAGTATAAAGAATGTGATCGAGTACCAATGTTATTTCATTTTTGTTCATTTAAAATTTAAAACCAATACTCAAGTCACTTACTGGACAAATTTTGAGTACACATGAAACAACCCGGTTTGTGAATCTACGCTTTTTACTATAAACTTTCTGAACTCCATAAGTACACATCAAGGATTTCTGATAAAGATTTAGTGACCAAATTGATAAACACATTGGATGTACAAGATTAGTATGAAGAAAAAGTGAAGTACCATATTCATAATTTTGATATTGACCACATGTTGAAATGAAAATAGCTTGGATTTATTAATCATTTAGATTAACAAAAATATATTCAGATGAAAGTTATTTTTACTTTGTGCGTTTTAAAATGTAGCTGCTAGAAAATTTAAAGTGACACATGACATTTCTCTCAGACATTGCTGAGTTAGAACAGGGCCTGGGTTCAAATCCTGACTCTGCCACTTGTCACTATGTGACTGCTTCTCCCTGCCAGTTTCCTCATCTGCAAAATAGGGGATAAAGGACCTGCTCCAGGGGGTTGCTGGGAGGATTCAATGAACTAAAACATGCGAAATGCTTGGAAGGCACCTCCGCAGAGTCAGGTCCGAAAACCCGGCCGGCATCACGGTTGTTGCTATTATTACTGGGATGAGTCTCTATGAGAAATATGTTGTGCTCCAGTCCTGAGAGGCTTGGCAGATGCCCACCTGCCTGTCACAGTTGGGTGGCCTCAGCCCTTTGGCCACCGAACAAGCCTGGCCCTAACGCCAGTCCCCGCTCCGCACAGGCGGGCAGAGGGGCTAATAAGGGTTATGACTCACTGTGGCCGTGAGTCAGCCGCAGCCGAGACAACGCCCAGGTCCTCTGCTCCAGACTGGGGCTTGCCCCTTGTCACCCTGTCACCTCCCCTTTCTTTTGGCTTCTCTCTACGCTTCTCTCTACGGTCGGTTTTGCAGGGAAGAAGCGAGGGGTTCTGGGAGCAGCAGCTCCTTGACCAACTCCTCCCCCGCCCCCTTCCTCCTCCCCTCCTCTGGTCCCTCCCTTGGGATATGGCCCTGCCAGGGAGTGAGTAAAACCCTTGTGACACGGGTGTGGCGGGGGCAGGCCAGGGGCTGGGGGAGAGGGGGAACTCTGATCTGCCTCTTGGGCAATGCTAACTGATTAGCACCTAATCCTGGAGACTGCCCAGTTCTTCTCTCCTCTTACATCATCCTCTGCGGCATTTCCAGAAAGTTCCGGGCTCCTGGGAGTGTGTGAAGACAGGGCGTGAATCAGGGTCTCCAAACACCATGGAGGAAAACTTGGTGGGGAATGGGCTCCCTCTGCCCTTCCTGAAGAATGAAGAATGTTATGTCCAATCATTCGTTCATTCATTCCTGCGACCACTATTTATTGAGCACCTACTGTGTGCCAGTGTTGGGGACACAGCAAGGAACATAAATATTCCCCACTCCCTATCCCCACTCCCTATCCTGGGGGAGACAGATGCTAAATAATATCATTTGTGCATAAGCAAGAAAATAAGTAATATTAAGGGACCATGTATAGCAATAAAGCAGGGCCCGGCCAGTGTGGTTCAGTGGTTGAGCACTGACCCATGAACCAAGAAGTCAGCAGTTTGATTCCAGTCAGGCACATGCCTGGGTTTAGAGCTCGATCCCCAGTGCGGGGCGTGCAGGAGGCAGGCGATCGATGATTCTCTCTCATCATTGAGGTTTCTCTCTCCCTCTTCCTTTCTCTCTGAATCAATAAAAATATACATAAAAAAGCATATTAAAAAAAAAGAAACCAGGAAAGAGAGGTGGAGAGTGTAGGGGTGACTTGTAATTTTATATAAGGTGGTCAGGTGGGAATGTGGAAAGTGTTGAGAGCAGAGAGCAGTCAGTGTAAAGGCCCTGAGGTAGGAGGAACAGCAAGGAGGTGCACGGGGCTGGAGCAGAGTGAGCAAAGGGGAAGCAAGGGAGGGACTGAGGGCTTTGTTCCCCTCGGGTGAAAAGGCTGGTGGTCAGTCCTGTGATGGCTCTAGAAGTTTCTAGAAGGGGCTGGGTGGGGCATGTGTGTCGACAGGGTTAAAAGGCCTGGGTATCAGGATACTGTTGTGTGGGTGTTTTTTTAAAATCCTCACCCAAGGATATTTTTCCATTGATTTTTAGAGAGAGTGGAAGAGAGTGGGAAAGACAGAGAGAAACATCGATATGTTGCCTCCTGCACGCGCCCTGACCAGGGCTCAGGCTGGGGAGGAGCCTGCAACTGAGGTGCTTGACAGGAATCAAACCCGGGATCCTTAGGTCCGCAGGCCGAGGCTCAATCCACTGAGCCAAACCGGCTGGGGCAGGATGCTGTTCTTTAAGCCTGCTGTTCAGGGCTCACTCTTTTAAAAAATATATATTTTATTGATTTTTTTACAGAGAGGAAAAAAGAGGGATAGTTAGAAACATTGATGAGAAACATCGATCAGCCGCCTCCTGCACACCTCCTACTGGGGATGTGCCCACAACCAAGGTACATGCCCTCGACTGGAACCGAACCTGGGACCTTTCAGTCCACAGGCCGACGCTCTATCCACTGAGCCAAACCGGTCAGGGCTCAGGGCTCACTCTTAGCTTCACACAGGAAGGTGGTCCCCCAGCTTCAGGAGGAGGAGTGGTCCCTGGGGCAGTGTCCCATGAAGGCCTTGAGCCTGGACCAGCAAACACGGCCGGCCCCCCATGCACCTCCCACCCCCACCCTCCCTCCATGTATGGCCACCATCTGATCTTGGTGATTGCTTTATGGCCGGTGGGTCCAAGGTCGAAGCGGACCTCTCACCGGCCAAAGGAGGGCTCTGCTGGCTTCAGGTGTGGTCCTCTCAGCTTCCTTCCGGTTGTGGGGGAGGAACAGAGAGGGTGTCTCCTCCCGTTCCAACCTGGGGCCCTGGGAAGGTGCCCAGGGGGCGGGGTGGGAGGCATCTCTGGGTCTCCAGGCACTGAGTGCTTTCCCGGCTGCTGAAACAAAGTGACACAGACTGAGTGGCTGAAACAACAGAAATGTATTATCCCAGTTCTGGAGGTTGGAAGTCCAAGATCAAGGTGTGGGCAGGGCTGGTTCCTCCTGATACCTCTCTCCTTGCTTGTACATGCTGTCTTCTCCCCGTGTCTCTGTGTTCAAATGTCCTCTTTCTTATATAAGCACACCAGTCACATGGTCAGGGCCCACCTTATTGACCTCATTTTAACTGATCACATCTGCTAAGAAGTTATTTCCAAATACTGTCACATTCTGTGGTCCGGGGGGTTGGGATTTCAACATATGAATTTGGGGTGGGGTGGGGAGAAGACACACGTCAACCCACAGCACCTTTCCAAAGCTGTTACAAACCCCAACCCTGGTGGTGTTGGCTCAGTGGTCACCTCCCTAGGAAGCGGCCCTTATCACACCAGCCAAAGTCACCCCAGCCCCAGTCACTCTTGCATACACCTTCGAGGGGCTCTGTTTACGTACCTATGTTACCTGTTTACACCAGGGAGCAGGGACCTGTCTGTTTTGGTCACTGATGTGCCCCCCCCCCACCAGCCCTGAGAAGGATCCCACACCAGCCAAGTGGCTTCAATAGACCTGTGGAATGAACCCCACACTCAACGTGCACAGTGGATCCCAAGAGAAATGGGCCTGCTCGAGGCCAAGTTCAAATGTCAGCCTTGTCTCAAATCAGTTCATAAATTTCCTATCTTGCGCAGAATTACTTTCTGGACTGGGTGCCAAGAAACCAACATCCTGTCCCCAGCTCAGCCACACACTGGCTGTGACACCACGAAGTCACTTCTCCCCTCTGAGACTCCGTTTTCCTGTCTGTAAAATGTGACCACTGACCTAAAGGTTATGAGAAGGTCGAACATGGGATTAATGTTTAATCCCAGGGAAAATCTGATCAGGATGGTGTTCGCCTGAGTCATGGGCCAGGCTGTGTACCTGTGTGGAGAGGCCCTCCGCCCCAGGTGAGCGAGGCTGGCCCAGCTGAGCTAAGGAAGCACCAAGCCTTGGTTCTCCTCCTTGAGGTTTCTCAGCCGGAATGTCCGTCAGGCCCCAGCAGAAGGCCTCCAATCTCCGCCAGCATCTCCAGGTTAGAGAATGCCAGAGAGGTCACCGCCTGGAACAGGACGACCCTCGGCAGGACTCGATCACATTTATTTTCACAGGGCATGTCTTTTTACAGTTCCCTTCTATTTGGGGTCTCTGGTACTGGTCTCAATTTACCATTATAGAGTGGTTTTCTAAAATAAATGTATCAAAGGAATAAAGCCAAGTTGATGATAAAGCTGAAGATTGGACCAACCTTTTTCTTCAACAAATTTATCTTTAAAGGAAACATTATAACACTAGGGTAAACTAAAAGAACAGCACCAGGTACCTAAAACAGGGGCAAGGGAAAAGAAACAATGTTATTAGGCCTAGCCGGTTTGGCTCAGTGGATAGAGCATCGGCCTGCGGACTCAAGGGTCCCGGGTTCAATTCTGGTCAAGGGCATATACATTGGTTGCGGGCACATCCCCAGTGGGGAGTGTGCAGGAGTCAGCTGATCGATGTTTCTGTCTCATCGATGTTTCTAACTCTCTATCCCTCTCCCTTCCTCTCTGTAAAAAATCAATAAAATATATATTTTTAAAAAGAAACAATGTTATTAAATTCTAGGCAGCTACTGTTGCCTGTGGAAGGTTCTGGACTAGGTGACTCTGTTAAAACAACATTAGCAAATAAGTGTTTATGACACATCGGTACCCAATTGAGTGCTTTTTTATTTAATCAGAAGGTTTAAAAGAGGATTGGCAAGGAAGCAATTTCTTATCTTTCATGAGTTTCTTTTTTATGCAATTTTCTACATGCAAGCATGCATGGAGAACTCACTTTGTGCATTGAATCCTCTCAACACCTCACTCTTTTGGACTTTTTTCTCCAAGAAAAACAGTGCCATTCCTCCTAGGCCCAGCTTCCAGGTCTAATAAAAACCAGAGCTAGGCCCAGCAGGCATGGCTCAGTGGCTGAGTATCGACCTATGACCAGGAGGTGACGGTTTGATTTCTGTCAGGATGATACTCAGTGGGCATGTGGGTGGGTGGGAGGGA